AAGAAAAAACTTTGGAAATTGAACAAATACAATTTTTTAAGGGGCTATTTTGACTGGCTGTGCTCAAGAAAAATCCCCGAAATATTTTTCATTATTTCTGTTGCTAGAAAAATTACTTTGCCGCTGCTGTAAGTTTTATTGAAGAAATAAATATACGAGCATTTTTTCTCTGCATATTGATGTACTAAATGCTAATAGAAGAAAAATTATTTTTCATTTATTGTGCGTCATTGTATATGAATTTTTAATTTTCAAGTTTTCTAGAAATTAATAATTTTTGAATTCAGTTAATGAATGGTAATAAAATTCGTTGCACTAAATTAAATTCAACTCCTTAATTTTATTTAATAATTGCTTTAAATTTTTCCAATAGAGTTATTTAGAAATTTTAATAAATTTAAATTACACAAATATTCATTAATCATAAATTCAACCCTTTGAGTCTATTAAAATTGAATTACGTCAATATCTTGTGACAAACAATTCATTACAGCTTAATTTATGGTTACACAAAGGCGCGCACAAATACGCCAGTGCACTCATAAACACAAACAAACTCACACACACTTGCACATTTCAGCAACTCCACAAACATTTGCATTGCAATTAGAAGTGCACTTCAATTCAGAGAATATCCATCAGCACGCCACTCTGCCGCAGCGCCAATTACCTGGAGGGCGATTTTCAAATGCAATTCCCATGAAATCTGATATGTTTGTGGTGTTTAATGTAATTTTCCATAACTTGAACTGCACAATTACAGCTAATGCAGTGGTGTTAGCGGGGAAGGCAATGGCGGCGGCAGCGGCAGTATAACGGCGACGCCTACACGCCCACACGATAAGCTGAGGAGTCGAGTAAATCAACGCATTTTACGTTTAATCTGGTCAAGGAATGCATTCATTTCAATAAAAACCGAAAACTAAAGCACAAAAAAAACTAATTTTACAAAAATAAATTGTTTAAAGTTTCGTAAAAAAGCGCATTCACTTCCAAGTTAGTTCGTTAAATGCGAGGAAATTATTTTGAAATATGATGTGCGACAATTACGTTACACTTGCAACATACTAATTTGCGCCACAAAATACACTCACGTCAACCAAAACACGCACTCGCGAACAGACAAAAACGCCAGTCAGTGTATGTATAATCTGTGCAATTGCAAATAAATTGTAGCATACAGGTAGGCGCTGGCCGTGGCTGACATGCCATTGCATGCAGTAAATGTTGCGGTAAGTTCATTTCACTCAAAAATTCCGCGAATTTTTGTATGTCATTTGAGTGAGTGAGTGGCATGTTGAGGACGAACGGACCTGCAGTGCTGTGGTGGTGGTACGGTCGTTACGAGCGCCGCGGTACTCCAGTTTGTTGTGAGATGGGGGTGAGGCATGCGCGCAACCGTGGCTACCGCATGTTTAAATGGCTACGCACACACACACACACACAGCAATGCGCAATGCAATGTATGTATATAACGTGAAATACACTGGCGCCTGCAGTTGTAATTTTTTCACTTTTTTGTTCTTTTCTTCTGCATTTGGCAAAAGCAACTTATTAACGCGTTGCAACTCTACGAAGCATTTACACACACAGGCATACATAAATTGTTACAACCTCGTAGTAGCTGCTATTCGTGTTGCGGCCGACAAATGGAAGTCATCAGCAACAGCAACTACACCAGCAATAAAGGTTGTAAAAAAAAGAAAAGCCGCCCAAGCCCAAGCTCTATGACACTTAATGCCAACCAACGAAGTTGTGTGATTCTGGTTGGCTGTTGTTGGCAGAAGTAGCCTCGGAAACGTAAGCATCCAAATTGCAAACGTAAATGGAATTCGCACGACATGCCACTTGGTCATTGATACACGGAATACAGATATATAAACACAGTTATATGCGTTACACAGTTGCTGCCATGAGTATTCTTTTCGGCGGTATTTATCTCTGCCTCCAGGTCGTCCGTGCTACTGTGGTGATCTTAGAGCAATTTTTCAACGTTTTCCAGACTAAACAGTGGAGTGTCTTCCCTTCTATATTTCCCTTTAATATTTTATGTGCTTTATACTTAATTGAAATCTTTACTAATGAAAGGCCGAGCTTTTTACATATTACGCGAGCCCCACTCCCTGAAAAATTTCTGATCGTCCGCATTTGAAGATGAACTCATCTAGATCACTTCGCTTGTAATAAGCAATGAACAAAATATTAAATGAAATGCGAAAGTTCTTGTCAAAACCCTTCGTTTATATGTAGGTATGCTTGAAGACTAAGTTTTTACTTTTTGGAATCATATTTTTATAGTAGACTCTTCACCAGTTATTTCGCTGTTGTTCACTGGATTTTATGAGAATCCTTTTCTTGCCCGAAATACAGTCGGAGGTTTTCCATTGCCTGCCGAGGGGCGATCGCTGGTAGTAACAAAGTTTTTTTTAATTTTATATGTTGCTCGGACCAAGGATCGAACTCAGGCACCCTACGCAGTGGTAGTACGCACTTTTAACTATGTACTCGACTACTGCAGCGCACAGACTCATAAACAAACAAGCGCTCGTGTCGTGGTAGCATAAATATTCTCGGAAATTTTTAAAGTGATTAACCACCCAAAATGCCAAGAAGTAAGCCACACGCCAAGTGTCCTCACAAAAAGGACATGGAAATAATGAAGAAGGCAAAATTTAATGGATCATGAGAAATGTAGTTTCTGGTAAATTTTTTATTGTGCCAAACAATTTTTTAAAATCATTTACATGTGTACAAATAATCTAAGGTTAACCAATATGTGCGAGTATTATTCCTTCAATTTGTTCTCCCATATCTTTGGCTGACATTCTGTGACGATTCTGGTGGTAGGTGTAGTGTGTTCATTGGTTTTGAAATAATGTGAAACGACATAGGAGCAAGAGAATCGAAATGAAATGAATTCGTACGATGTGAAATGTAAGTGAAATTGAACCGGAATGATATTAAAATTGAAATTGAAATGAAAACGAACTGAAATGGAATACAGTGAAATTAAATGAAATCAAATAAATTGATAGGAGGTTGGTTGAAGTAAAACGAGGCTCTCTCTTTTCTCTAATATCATTCAGGAAAAATTTATGGCGCCCCTAATGATTAAACGAATGCTTGCACTGGAATTGAAATCAAATTAAATAAATGAAATTGATTGATTTGAAATGGAGGGAACTGAAATGAATTGAAGTGATGTGAACTAAAATGAAGTGAACGAAAGTGAAATTAAATGGGAATTAAAGATGAAATACAATTACTCATGACGATAAATGAAATAAAGTAAAGCGAAAGATTATAAACTGAAATTGTATGAATCTACATTAAATTAAATGGAACAAAATTAAAGGACTTGCTACAAAATGAACAGAACAGAAACAGAGAAAGTTGAAATGAAATGGAATGAAATGTAATCAAATGAAGTGAACTAAACTGAAATGAAATGAGTGAAACTGAAGTGAAATGGAACAAAGTTATATTAATGCAATCCACTTCCTTAATGGGAAATGAAATGGGGCAAAATTAAAGAAAATTAACTGAAATTAAATGCATCGGAATAATATGAAATGGAGTGAAGTGAAACAAGATGGGATGGAACGGAAGGAAATGAAGTGAAGAAAAGGGAAATGAAATGGAATGAAATTAACTAAAATAAATGCGGTCCATTTCCATGAAGCGAAATAAAATGAAATGAAATTAAATGAAATGAAAACAACGAAAATTAAACTAAATGAATCGAAATGAAATATAGTGAAATGAAACGAAGTGAAATGCAAAAAAAATTAGCTTAAAGCAATCCATTGCCCTGAAGCGAAATGAAATAAAGGAAACTAAATACTATGAAATTAATTGAATGTTATAAAATGAAGTGAAATGAAACGGAAGTGACATGAAGTGAAATGAAATGGAATGAGCTGAAGCTCTCTCTTTTCGCCTATATCATTCAATCAAATTTAAATTAAATGAAACTAAAGAAAGAAAAATTAAGTTAAATCAAATCATATTAAGTGAACTTAAATGAAATGAAATGAAAGGAATGAAAATTAAACGAAACTAAATGAATGGAAATGCAATAAAGTCAAACTAAATGAAATGAAATGAAGTGGTATGGAAAAAATGAACTTAATGCAATCGATTACCATGAAGCGAAATGAAATGAGGGAAAGGAAATGAATGAAATTAGTTGAATGTAATAAAATGAGGAGGAACGAAATGAACTGAATTGAAATTAAGTCAAAAGAAATGAAACAAAATGATGTGAAATGAAATGGAGTGAAATGAAATCAAATTAAATTAAAGAAAGAAAAATTGAATGAAATCAAATGAAATTAAAAAATTAGATCAAATGAATAAGGGTGAAGTAAAATACATTAAAATGAAATGACATAAAATTAAACAAAATGAGAACAAATGCAGCAAAATTAATTGATATAAAATGAATTGAATGAATGAATCAAAAAATGAATTCAATCAAACTAAAATAAAAGAAAGAAAAATTCAATGAAACGAAATGAATTACAATGAACGAGAATGAAGTAAAATTAATTAAAATGAAATGGCATTAAATATAATGAAGACGAACGCAATAAGATGAAATGAATTGCATTGAAACAAATTGGATATGAAATGAACGAGAGCTTCAGAGAGAGAGAGAGAGCTGTTCGTCGATATCATTCAATCAAATTTTATGACGTTTCTGATGATTAGAATAAAATGTTGTTTCCATTTGATTAGAATAAAATGGAACGAAGGAAAAAATGAAACTAAATTTGCTATAACGTGAAACGCAGTGGAAGTGAAAATGAGTGGCAAGTGAGTGATAATAGGTTACGGATGATAACATATTGATGTTCGATGAGATGTGATAATCGAAGATGAGAGATGATTAAACGATACCGGCTTCGGGTGAATAATGGATAATTAAGATGACTTTATTTGAATGGCTTTAATGTACTTTACTTACTGGTTTTTTCGTCAACTTAAAACTCATGAAATCAAAAATGTGATAAATGATTTTATTGTTAAGCGCAACATGAGATCTCTTTCAGTGCAATGGGAAGAGTAAAATGTATTTTAAAAAGTATGAGCTATGAAAGTAAATACTTCATGTCAAGGATGTAGAGCTCAAAGAACATTTGAACTCCGACTGGTCACCCCTGCTCCATGTCTTTCAAAATGTGTATATGCATTTCAATGGTGAGATATAAAGTTGCGATGGAATTCTGATTATGGAATAATGTGTCAGTGAGTGTGTATGTGTGTATACTTGTGTGTGTGTGTGCTTTGCGACAGTTTTGATGCAATGATTTCTTATGAATTGAGTTCAATGTGTTAGCTATTGCACCAGGCATAAATGGACATATAGAAAAAAAATTAAATAATTAATCCAATGTCAAAGAGTACGTTGAAGCAGCTCACCTCGCCCAGATCTAATTTCAACAATTCGAGAAGACCTTCTGATATAATTATCATCCTTAAATTCAATTAACTCCCATTTCCACCAGCGCCTTAGCCGCTGCCACACCCATTTCGTGCTCGCTCGATCCCTCCGGTTCCAGTAGCATGATATCGCGACTCTCTTGCAAACATCTGATAACATTTTTAATATTGCGCTTAAATTCGGATTCACCTATTTCGCCTGCCAACATTAATCGCTGTGAACGCATCATTATTGCGCCATGCAGTTCATACAAAATTAGTCCTAGAAAAGTGGTAAAACGCCGTATATAAGTTAAATTTTAAATATGTACCCACACTTACCTCTTAAGCGCGTCATGCCCGGTTCTAGCGCGTCTACGACACGCAAAAAGTCGCGACAATAATTTTCCTTCTTCTCCACATCTTCCAGTGGCATTGTGTGCAGCAGGTAGCCCTCTATGCGACCATAAATTTGACAAAGTAAATACTTGGCGGAAAGAAGTAGGTAATGGTTGGGTCCTAGAACACGCTCATATCTGCAGATACAAAGGATGAAAAAAGTGCATAGATTAAATTTATGTAGAGGCCTTCCATTTTCCTAAATCGCTTGCTTTACTCACTTTTTTAAGAACGCCTCCAGCCCTGGTATATTATGCGCATCGATTGACTCCAAATTATTGTTGATTGCATCCAATAACTTAACAATTTCCTTAGACTGCAATTTATAGTCACAGCGATCACATCTGAAGTTTCTCAAACAAAAAAAGTTACAAAAAATTTAGCTTCTTCGAAAAGCTACTAACTTCCATTCGGCCTCCTGATTCAGCGGGTCAACTGTGCGCACTGATCCACCTCTGCACTTCGGACACAGCAGCGCACTGCAGTCCGTGCCCAACTCTTTGGGGTCCGCGCAGCGGGAACAACTACACCAGAATAGCTTTCCAGCATGCATGAACTCGCGCCGCTTCAAGGTGCCCTGCTCAGCAAGTTAAATCATATAAATTTAATTTTAAAATTTAAAACTAAAAACTACACCGCCCACCCCCCCACCTGCAGCGTGTACGCGTAACTCAACGTAATGCCCTCATCCTTTCGTATGGCTCTGGAGGTGCGCAAAATAATCGCATATGTTTGTGGATCATCGGCGTGTGCGGTGTTGGGACAGCAGTCGTGTGCAAGCAAAAATGCGCTCCTATACAGACAGCGAGCCTTGGCCGAATTTTGGCCGATTTCAAAGCAATTCACATCCAAAATACCACAAATGGTATGTATCTCAGCGGCGGCGGCCATTGAGCGCATACCCCAATCGCGCTGCAGCCGTTGCACCACATTTTGCTCATAGTGTTGCCACAATTCGGTATTAGCCTTGCGTAGCTCGGTGTGAGATTCCATTTGCAGAATGTCCGCATATTTGTCCGGTGACTGCTGCTTGAGCAGGCAAATGCGCGCAATCAGTACGAGTTCGTAGAAGTTCTTCACCAAATCGACTTGGCCAGAGGCGGCGCTTAGCGCTGCGCCCAAATTGTGTGTACTCAATAGCTCACATTCCTGGGCAGTGTGGCCGGTGGGCTGATGTAGGCCACGGCATTGTGGTCCACACATGGGCCATTTGCAAGCTGCGCAGCTGTGGGGAAGGATAATTGGAAAGGATTAAAATTCGGCAATGATTGAAGAAGTAACGGTAGGCTCATTTGTTAACACAACCCTTTGTCTTACGTTAAACTTTTTGGAAAGGCATTCAAAAATCAAAAAATTTCAAGTTTTTTTTTTCAAATTATTCCGATCGATCTGCGCTCTACTTGCGCCTCTGCGTGACTGTGGGCTATCTATTCGCAGCTGCCTACTTAAATAGTCTCCAGTACAATTTCGAAATACTATTTGTTCACATTCATGGAAAACTACAACAAATACATACACACAAGCATATTAAACGAAAGCATGTATTTTTAGTTCCCCATTTTGATCTACGTGATCGAACGCATTCCGCTGCAGCGGCGCTGGGTTTAAAAATAAATCTTTTAATAAGCAAAATAGTCTCGACAAAAAACAAAAGATGCCCTATTACAATTTAGTAATGGTGAAAACATCTCAAGCTCAAAAGCAAAAATCGCTTAAGTCAACTTAGGACAAATTTTAGTGCTGTGTACCACCTTCCAATCCGAATAAGATAGTAGATTCCATTAGCCTCATAACGTTCTTTTCAAAATGTTAATAAGTAAAAATCTAGTGGCCTAAGTTGTAAGATACTTTATTTATGATTTTTTACTGTTCGATTTGGATAATTCTGCTTTAACTTTTTCTTAATGCATTGAAAGAACGTAAAACGTACATATATATGTATGTACACACATATCACTCATTTACTTCAATAGTGTCATAATCCAAAAAATATAAATTTTGAGTTGAGTATACAGAAATTACCGCTACATCTTCTTCTGTGTTGTGCAAAAAGATGTATCTATTACCAGTAGCTCACTAGAACAAAATATTCATTTTTACTATGGGAGTATATGTATATACCCGTACATGTGTAAATTCACAACTTTAAAGCCGTTTTTCTTGAGTTTGGTTTTTTTGAGTTCTGACACTATTGAAGTAAATGGGCGATATAAGTTTGAAGTCTTTTCGGACTCGAGTTAGACCATTAATATTTATCACATATTCACATACATATCGCCCATTTACTAAAAGATTGTCATAACTAAAAAAATAAAATTTTGTAGCAAATAATGCAGAATTGCGCATTGTGCCGTGCTTCAAATTGTGTAAAAATGTTACTAGTTTCCGCGTAAGAGGACAATATCCATTCCTTTTTTCTTCGTTTTTAGATCAAAATTAAAACTTTAACCTCCTATATCCCGTATCCGGAAAACCCTCGCTTTTTGAGTTGTGACAATGTTTAAGTAAATGAGCGATATGAATGTACATTAGACTGCATCCCCAAAAAAAAGTTGCGGTTTTACCGCCGGGATTACAAAATTTATTTGACGACTTCCACCAAAATATTTCGAAGTAATATTTAGATTTACGTTAGCTGGACCGATTAATGGACTTTTTATGAATAAAAATAGTTTCTTAAAGAATTTTTTGAAAAAAAAAATCCCTTGAGATGACAAAACAGTTTAAGCTTAAATAAACTGCATAAAAATATTAAACTATTTTTTCAACGGAAACATAATAATAAGATTTTTTATGCTCTTTTTTTTACTTTTTTCAAAATTGGTTTAAAAAACTTGAATAACTGGCCCAAAATTATATCGATTTAGACTTATGGGGTATCTGTGGAAAGCTATTTTTCACTATTTTTATAATATAGTAGATTTTATAACTCCAACGGAAAAATAGAACCAATTTTTTCTTGTATGGGCAGTAATGCAGTCTAATGTACATATATACATACATGTAAATAGATTAAAAAATTTAAACAACTAAACTTAAATTTGTTTTTCCAATTAGTTAACCTTCACTGACGTCACCTTTTGTCCCATATTTTTTGTTTTGATTTTGAAAGTATTTTAAATTTCAAAACAAATACATTGTATGCACATACACAACTGTGTATGTATTTATGTACACATATTAAAACATGAAAAACATTTCATTTGGATAATAATAATTTAAGTGGGCGGTGTTTTCGTTAGAAGATCATTGAAGTGTACACATCCAATAAATATGAGCAAATCGATGGGAAATGGTCATACGGTCTGATTAATGTACATACGAATTTGGAAATATTTATTTCTAACTGGACTTCGTCAATGACAGACATGCCTTTAGGCTGAATTTTCAGGTTTGGTTTACAGTTTAGAACTACAAACATACATATCTTAAGACCCATACAGCAATTCTGTTATTACCAGTATCATGTAGTGCCTCAATATTCCTCTACCAATGGTCATTATTAACACTTCTTCAACCAAGTTATGAAAGGGGGCGTTCTTGAAATTTTGTTCAGAGAGATTCCACTCAGAAATGAAAATAAATTAGATATTGGTAACTAAAAACAAATCATCTAACTTTCACTTCTCGTACTCTTCATGCAAAGAAGGAGCTTAAACAATTCATCAAACCCTATTTTTTTTATAAAATTCATAACGTTTGAGGCACATAAGTAAGTAAGTATATATATTAAAATGTGTTCTCTAATATTAAAACTTGAAATTTCCAATTCTAACCGGTCATATTTTAATCGGCTAAGTATTGATTCTTATCAGAAAATTGGCAAAAATTGTAATACCAAGCTAAAACTTTTCGTAAATCATAAGGTGTGTCAGTCGATAAGTATATAAAGCAGTTAGGGCATAGAAGCATTCATCTGAAGTCAAACTAATGTAGGTTGTACAACTTTCAACTCACACTTTAACTCTGGTAACTAATTCGAATGCTGTTCATAGCTGCCACGCCTCGACTCCTCACATCGCATTTAACGAACCTAGACAAACCGATACACGACGGACTGGAACAGGTTCTTCGTATACGAGAGACTGGGAGGCAATGTTATCAAATTCAGAGTTTTAGTTGTAAATTACAGTTTTAGGCAAGCTCACAGTAGAAATTCTAATTTTTAAATTTGCAGATTTGAAAAATTTAATGCAAATATTTATTTCGGTTATTTTGGCAGTACATTTTTATGATAAAAACAGGCGATGGTGAAAAATTGGGTCAGCTACATTCCAGTAATACGTTTCAAAAATACTTTAATGATCCAAAAATCTCTCTGTCGTTGAAGGTTACAGTTCTTTGTTTTGTTAAAAATATATTCTTTCTTGAGAATTCTTTGTTAAAGAAAATCTGGCAACACTGGAAAAAGGGAGAAAATAAATGGTCTAAATTTCGTAAAGACCTTGAATTAATATAATCCAACTCTACATGTCTTCATGAATGTTTCCGCAACATACATTCAATCTCTACTTTGTATCTGGACTCACTTTGGCAACTTCTTCTGTTAACTGGGCTTTCTGTTTGAACTTGGAACCGATTTCGAAAACGTTTCACATATATTCGACCATTCTTAAGACTTTCACGAACTGAAAAGTTGACTATACTAATGTTCCTCTATTTCATTTGAATATAATGCTTCAAGGTACGAGCGAGGTAGCTTACATATCAGAAGCATCTACCGCAATTGTATCAAACCCGTGTGATGAAACTTACCGGTACTGCGGTATTTCCAGCTCTACGGGCATGTAACAACCCAAACAGACTGCATCTGCTGACACACAGGGTCCTATTACCAAGGGCTCCTCCGTTATAAGCAGTTCACCTGCCTTCAGGTCGCGATTTGCCACCACATAACGTCCCAATATTGTCGATTTCTCAATTCTAAAAGGTGACTGCTTGGTGGACGAATCGCTTGACTCATTTTTTTCCACCACTTCTGCTTTAGAATTTGACGGTTTATTCAGCACTTGTTGCTGTTGCTGATGTTGGTGATGTTTCTTCTTGTTTTTCTGAAAATTGCGAGAAAATTTACGAAAATAGAAGCATTAAACTTCAGAGAAAATAGCGATCATAAGTGGGCATCAATAATTTTCTGCCTTATTCCTTTCCATTGATAAAGCATTTTACGCGCTTATGGAAAGCCTAAGTAAACAGATATTCAATTTACCGCTAACCGATAACAAATGCCATAAAAATTTATCTGCCCACAGTGGCTGTATTTCTTTGTACATAAACAAAATTTTTGGCACGCGCTTCCACTTATGAATAAGAAAGCAAGGCGTAAGCAAAACAAACAATTTTCACAAAAACAAAAAACTAAATTATTTATGAACGTGAGAGAGCGCAGCGTGAATACTCTCCCTGAAGTCAATTGCAGTTGTGGAGCAAAGATCAATACACACCAATGAGGCACGCGTCCATGATAATGAATAATTTTTGAAAGGTAGTTTCACTTCTTATCCTCCATGTTAGCTAACTGACAGAAATTGTGCTTCGTATATTTTATGATACCATTTTTTCCCCAAAAAAAAAATCCAGCTTTTGATGTTGGAAAAATAAAACGAAGCAAAACCAAACTTATAAGTAGAAAAATTTTCAAAAATTATTCAATAATTTTCTTCATAAAAATTCTGAAAAAATTATCTGCTGAAAAGTCAAGCAAATAAAATTAATTTCCGAAAAAAAAAAACTTTTTGTTGCTCTCGCTTGCACTGCATTTGGCGCACCAACCGATTTGCTCTAATTTTATGCCTGCGATCAACGCGTTGTCAAACATTGCACTAACTCATCTCAGCGATGCTAACGAAAATGTGAGCATTTTACGTTGTTTTTTTTTTTTTTGTTTTTCCACATTTATTTTTAGCGTTCAATGAAAAATCGTTGTTGTTGTTTTTGCTGTGGTTTCGGTTTGCTGCTAAGTAATATGCCGCGTGGCGTTGTTCATGATTTACATACATACATACATACGTACGTAGCGGGTGTGTGCCACTTGCCGGGCCGGTGCCCGGGCCACCGCTGCGTATACGTATTACTTACTCGCAGCTATTAGCAAATATGCATAAATTTCGTTATTTGATGTTTTGAATATTTAGGTGGGGTGAAAATATTTATTGGATTTTATCGATTTTATGCGCGCCTGTAGAATGCATTAATGGGGGTATGTTGAATAGCTTTGATGGCTCTTTGTGTGCTGTTATAAATTATTTTTGTTAGCCTTTTAATTACTAAATAGAATTATCGATGGTCGAAAAACAATGTAAGGCGAAATTTCGAATATTGGATTAAAATGTCGAATGGAAAAATTTTGGAAATTCAAAAATATGTATGTATATTTAGGCAATTTACTCGTATTGTTTA